GAGATAATGTTGCCGTGGAGGAGTGCACAAGGCAATAAACAGCTTTTGCAGGCAATTAAATGCAGAAGCGAAATTGAGCTGCTGGCCAGTGGAACCAGCCATTCATCGTGAGTTTGTTCCAGTGTCACAAATGTTATTCCTGTTTCACAACAGGACTGGAATCTCTGATTGGGCCACAAATCTCCAGAGGCTGGAGACAGACCAAAAGTGATTAAACCAGCTCCCAGCATGCAGGGCATTAATAAGAAAGAGCCATGGGATTCTGCGATGCTAACTCACTAGACTGCTCGATTTTTTAAAAATTTATTTTATAGGTTTTGCACTTAGTAGGTGCTCAAAAATCATTTGTGGCTTGCTTGATTTTATAGGGAAACTTACAGGAAGTCTCAAGTCTACAATAAAAAGTCAATGGTTTCTTTTTGCAAATAATTTCATACCCTCCTTATTAATCTCTAAGAAGTCTAGTTTTAAAAAATGATGATGGGCCGGCCCCGTGGCTTAGAGGTTAAGTGCGCGCGCTCTGCTGCTGGCGGCCCGGGTTCGGATCCGGGCGCGCACCCACGCACTGCTTCTCCAGCCATGCTGAGGCCGCGTCCCACATACAGCAACTAGAAGGATGTACAACTATGACATACAACTATCTGCTGGGGCTTTGGGGGAAAAAAATTTAAAAAATTAAAAAAAAAAAATGATGATGATCTCCACTACAGTCGATTTTTTCTAGGAATCAGAAAGGAGCTCTTTGCTGAATAACATTTCACACTGCTCCCCCAACACACGCTGATACACAAGCAGCAAGGAAGGAGGGTGACTTATCAAATGGTAACTCACTCTGGTGAAGACATAGGCAGGAAGTCGGGTCTTAGCAATAGAGTCAAGAAAGTAGATGGAGGAGATGCTGCCCAAGATTCAGAACCCTCGGGTTAAGCCGGGGTCAGACCAAGGGGAGAAGCAGGCAGGAGAGACTCTCCAGAGGCAGCTGTGGGACACCTTCCACAAAGAAGACAGGCATGGCAACAACCAAGGGAGAGCCCCCACCCTGCCTTCTCCTGGAAGCTTCCACCAGGAGGGGGCAAGGCATTGTGCAAAGAGCAGAGCCAGGGAAGCTTCCAGAAACAGCAAAAAAGCAAGGGCCAGGGGAGGCCCTGTTCCAGATCGCTGTTCCCTGCACCTCTGCCAAACGACTGGTTAAATAGTGAGCTGTCCAGTTGCTATCCCTTAAACATTGGTTATAAGTATTATTTGTAGGCGTTTACTACTTAGCTAATACTTCTTTATAACATAACCATTATAATCTTTGTCTACACTTCCAGTCTTCTATCTCCTAAGTGGATCAAATTCTTCTCCAACCCTGATAAAAATTATTCCATACACATTCTCACTTGGTCCATAGTCACATGTCACGGTCTTTTAATAATAACTAAAATGTGCATTACTTATACCCTATCTTGTTACAAAGGGGATCTGAGGTAGCTAAGATACATTAAGAACAAAAGGCTAAACATTAAACAGATTAAAAAAAAAAGAGCAGGGCCAAGTGAATATGATGGTTAATGAAATAAACTCATTACAGTTAATATTGGCATAGCACTTCTTGGTGTACACAGAAACTGCCACGTACACTGATCATCTCACTGTAGTTATCACATTGCCTTATGTATCCATGCAACAATGCTGTGAGGGCAGTACTATACCACTTTACAGATAAGAAAACTGAGATTCACAGGATCAAGTATGTTGCTCAAGGCTACATGAACAGTTAAATCGCAAGTTAGCATTGAATATGGCTCTTCAAGCACCAGAATCCATGCTCCTCAAAGCACACCATATTGTTCCCTTAAATCAATAGGCCTGGTTTCTACTCCAGGCTCTGGCATTGACTAGCTGTGGGTGCTGAGTGAATCTTTTCAGCTCCAGACCTCAGTTTTCTCAGCAGTAGGATGGGGATGGACTAGAACTCTGTAAGATCCATCTCAGCTCTAATCATCACTGGACTAATTTTCATCTGTCATTTTGTAAACTGATGGCTTAAATCGATGTTGGCTCTTGTATTTTTAATGTTAGCGTTTATTTCCAATAGAACTAATTTTTGTGGACATGACTATAAGATTCTAAGTCAAGCTTGTGTTCACATTTGGTTACAAGATTAATCCACAGACTCATAAGATATCAGACTAAGAAGGGAGAGAGAGAGAGAAGCCATATGGTAGGGCCCCTCACTGCAATTGTTAGGATCATTTTTTATGTTACACACACATCGCAGGTGTGCCTAGATGTGCTTTACTGATAACCACATGCACAGAAAATCAGTATGCAGATTCCAAAGCAACTCCCAAATAGCAAAGAATTCAGCATATTTTAAACACTAATGGCTGAGACTGCATATTTCAGGAAAGCATCAGAAGCTCCATCCTCAGCCATCTGAAGTAACCACACATCAGCACTGTTCTTGAAGTTTCTGCTTATTTGTCACCTCCACAAGGGAAGGAAGAAAATCAAGAGTTCCAAGAAGATCCCCAATGAAAAGCAAAGCCAGTAAAAATTCCAAGCCCAAAAGAATTGACGAAGGCCTCAGTATTCGTACTTAATGGATCCTATGGTTAAGGGTCACCTCAGAGGTATTCTGCACTTTCCTCAGAGGTCTCAGCTCCTGGCTGGCAGTTTCCGTAGCCCTGAGTTTGTGGCAGACCCACAGATAACCAGACTGTGCTGAGAAACACACTGGAGCCAGACAGATACAGATTCACACTCCAGTTCTCCCATTTGGTGGCTGTGTGACCGTGGATAAGTCAGCCTCTAAGTCTCACCTCTAAAAAGAACACATCTGCCTCCTAGGGCTGTGGGGGAGGATTCACTGCTCAACAAATGACAGCTGTCAGTATTGGTGTTATTACCAACAAAGAGGAATGGATATCAACCACAGAGGCAGAGAAGGACCTATTTCTGCAAAATAATTTGTTACACGAGAATATATTACCCGTGGTGACTGGCTAGGAAATAAGGCTTAAGCCCAGGCCTCCAGAAAACAAACATATGTTAAATGATGCCTCAGCAGCCCTCCTGGGCCTCTAACCAGCAACACCTCTCTCCAGTCTATTAAGTGGTGATTCTAGAGAAGGCACTGACAGCATCAAAACTGCGCACTCCCCACAGGACTAAGTCAGTTTAGGCAAGACTTTTTCTCCCACCCTTTAGCAGGAGTACCGAAACTTGCCCTCGGGGACTCTCTCCTTGCACTCGGTAGCTGAGGCAGCTCTCCAAGACCAGGCAACATTGCTGCCCAAGAGAGTCCACCTCTTCCCAGCTGTCCCCCAGAAGGTGGACTTTGGTAAGGGACCTCCAAGAAAATCAAAGACTTCTGCTGTACCCTTCCCAGGTTTTCCAGGTAGAGTAAGAATAAACATTAGTGCATCAGCCATCATATGCCATCTGGAAGATTCTGACAAAGTAAGAATGTTAATATAGGAAATTTCTGACTCTCCTGTAAAGAGGATCTTGAGCTGTCTTTCTTTCAGAAAAACACTTAGATTTTTTTTTTTCTCATCTTTTATCTCATAAGCCAACAGGTTCATAGACCCTCCCTACTTTATCCTTAAAAGCCTGGAAATAGTCAGAAAGCCACGACACTCGAATAGTGGTCCTTAGGTCTTGGGAATCTGCAGATGAGCTGGGCTTGTTGAGAACCACAAGATACTTCTTTCTCCCTTCAGAGAGTGGAGTTTCTAATAGAAATCAACCTAAAACCTGCTCGAAATCATAAAATCCACCAGCACTCTGAAAGGCCTGAAGGGGTCCAGCTTGCAGATCCATAACTCACTGCATTTCCTTTCCACGCATATACCTCTCAATCCTAACACCAATATGCTTCCAGCTCCCTTTTTTAAACGTATGATTGTAAAAATAAAACATATGGAAAACTTATGAAAATGTGTGGCCCAGGGGATTAAAGCTGACATTTTAATACACCCAAGAAGACAAATCCCTGAGGGTAGCAAGAGAATCCAAAATGTGGGGTCACTTGAATATTAACAACTTCTCTGCACCTAAAACAATCCAGAGACAAAACAGAATAGAATTGTTCAGAGGAAAATTTCAACTCACATTTTTTTTAAAGTAGGCATAAGAAGGTCAGACTTGCCCTAAACTCCCAAATATATACGTCGCATTGTGTTGGAATCAAAGCCCAGCTGAGAAGGCCCAAACATGGTAAATGCATCCAAAATGAGAGCAAGTTCTCGCAGGATCATAACATCTCACGGTCGGAATGGGGCTGGGAGGTGTTGAGTCTAAGCTCTCATGAGTACACACAATCTAGCCTCTGGATGCTTTCAGTGCCTTGAATCTGCCGCTAATATACTGGCATGATAGAAATGGCTGAAACTGAGGAAGCAGAACAGCTCTAGATAAACGCTCCTTCCTTGAGAATGCAAAATGCTTTGTTTTACCCCAAAAGTTCTTGATTGCACACTATTTTAAAAATACATACTTAGAGCATGAAAGACCGACCTCCATTCCCAACTAAAAATGCACCCAAGTTGGCCCAGCACAGCAGCAACCTAATTCTTTTTTACCATTCTGCCATGCAAACATACAGACTATAAGCCCCCTCCCTCGCAGCGTGCAAATTCATCACTAAGATTACTGTCACCCAGAAAGCTGCACCCAGCATTTTCTAAGCTGCTCAAAGAGTCTGGACAAGGCTAGAGGAGGTGGGGCCTCGTACAGCAAGCCACTTGTGAATCTTATTTTGGCCAACTGTGTATTTATACAAAATGTCATTGAAAAATGAGAAAAGTAAAATTTGAAAACACAAATGAATATACGCACATTTCTTTACAATTCCTTGCAGCCAACCTCTGGGGTTAAGTGGCGTAATTAGAGTGAAAATTTTTTACACATTTTGCATAATATGCACACATGTGTGCTGAGTTGGGGGGGTGTGTGTGTGTGTGGGTGGGTGGTTTTCACATATCTAGTTCACTCTCTGGGTAACATCTTACCTGCCACTGGTTTCCTGTCTGACCAGGCACATAAGGTGCTGGGAGACTCCGAAGGCTATTCTTCACGGGGGACCCCCCGAGGGGACTTCCCACATCCCCGGAAGAGGAGTCGGTAGCCAAGGCCACGGAGTACTGCGGGTAGTTGTACAGATTGTTGTAGTAAGGGAACAGCGACGGCTGGTAAAAGCTGCTGTAGTAGGTGGAATCTGAAACCAGGTCAGGTGTGTTCTCCATGTGCCCTCTGCTGGTGACAGCAGGAATATCCTGGATGACCATGCGTGCCTCTAGAAAGAAAGACAACGTGGTATTAACGTGAAGGCCCACAAAACATCACTCTAAACCTTAACAACGCATCCCCTTCCTCCGCAAAGATCTGCAGAAAAAGGCACCTGATCAGGCTTCTCCTGCAGCCAAAATGAAGGAGGGTTTCCAACGTTAGCGTCACTCTTGGCACAGCTGGAACGCTCCTGTTGATTTTTTTTATTGAGAATACCAAAGACATTTTAGAGGTCATTCTAATTACATAAAGCCTGGCCGTCTACCTTCTACCCACGAATTCTTATCCTGACGTCAAGAAATTAGAGATCAAATCTAGTTAACTTGGCTGTCCGCAACACTCTCACAACAAAATTAATTGTACTTCACTATAAACAAAGTAATAAAATATCCCAGTGCCACACAGATATGTCAGAGAATCAAAGCAAGAGGTTAAGAGTTTAAGCAAACATTGTTTCCTTCACTTCCTTCCACAGCTGATATCATAACCTTCAGAGGTCTGGACAATGGTATAGACCAAGGGTAGACAAACTTCTGTAAAAAGTCAGTTAGATACCACTTGAGACTTCGTGGGCCATTCAGTTGTGGAATGTACAGGTTGCTGCGTGGTTGTGTTGTAATAAAACTTTATTCACACACACAGCCAGTGGGCCGAAGTGCCCTGCAGGGTGTAGGTTGCCAACCCCAGGTCTAGACTTTAAACTGTGTCAATTCCAATAAACAACCAAATGGACCCTTCAGTCATTCCTCCAATGGACATTTATTAAACAGTGTCCTAAGAGCTGCTCCAGGTGCCCGAGGTGGCTGCAGGGTGTCAGGCTGCCCCTGCCCTCAAGAAGTCTACAGTCTAGGATGAAAGATATGACAGGATTACAAATAACAACAACACGGATTTTCACACTGCAATATCCATAAACTTTTACAGAAATTCAGAGGAAAGAAAGATGACTTAGCCTAGAAAGGAATTACAGAGACTTCCATGGAAAAAACTGTATCTGAGCCGCACTTTAAAAGAGGAGCAGCAAATAGGTGAAAAATGAGAAGGGAGTACTGAGAAAAAAGCAGCAAGGCAAAGGAAGGCAAGCAGGAAAGCGAGAGGAGAGTTTGGGAGTGATGGACAGGGCGGGTGGTCGGGCTGAAGAATCGGGTGCAGAACAGGAAAAAGAGGTCCAGTCTGACAGGTGGGCTGCAGCAAGGGGAGGGAAGCCTCAGGCCGGCTCTCTGCACTCCCTGCAGGCTGTGGCCGGAAGCACTAAGGATTTGCGAGCAAGGAGCGGGTCAGAGCTGTGCTTTGGGGTGGTTTATCTGATGGTAATTCTTAAGACACTGAAGGGAAGAGAGACCAGAGGCAGAGAGACCCACTAGGGAGCCAATGAAGCAGTCAGGGAGAGACCTAGAAGACAGCAAATATGAGAGACCTGTGCCAGCGACACGTGGGAGACGAAACTCAACAGAACCGGAGGACTGATGGGACATCAGGAAAGAAGATGCAGGAGACGCGGTCGGAGAGAGCAGCAAGCCCGGGAGGGCAGAGGAGAGGGAGGTGCTGGGTTCTGCTTAATCAAGATGCCAGACGGACACGCAGGTGGGGGAGACGTAGGAGGGAGAGAAACTCGAAGCTCGCCCTCATGGAGGAGGCTGAGGGAGGAAGCTGAGATTCAGGAGTCGCCACCAGGAGATGCTGGCTGCATCTGGGGAGAGGAGGAGGGAGATGTTGTTACTGACGAGCTTGTTCTGAGAGGAGAAGAGAGCCAAGGCTGGAATCGTGGAGAACTGAGGAGAGAACGCAATGTCAGAGAGGCCAAAGTTGACCTCTGGATCAGAGAGGGGATCGCAGAGGGGGCAGGATGCAGTGTCAACTGTGGCTAAAAGATCAAGCCAAATTAGTTCTGGAGAAGACCAACAGAGGACTAGGTCTTTAGGGCCTTGTGGTTTTAGCGTAGCGGAAGGAGCAGAAGCCTGCAAGAGAGCGAGGAGCACGTAAGCATTGAGGAAACAGAGGAGATGACTCCAGGGAAGAGCCTTCTCTCTCACCAGAATGTTAAGATCTAGCCAGCAGGCACCACGCCTCCTGGCTTACCTGTGCAGCCCCGTGCCTAGCACAGTGTAGCACTCATGGTGGTAAACATTTGCAGAAGGGATGGACAAATAATGGTTTTTCAAGTAGTCTGGTACCCAAAATAAATGTGAGTGGGGCCAGCCCGGTGGTACAGTGGTTAAGTTCATGTGCTCCGCTTCAGCGGCCCAGGGTTCCCGGGTTCAGATCCCGGGTGCAGACCTACACACCGCTCACCAAGCCATGCTGTGGTGGCGTCCCACATACAAAATAAAGGAAGATGGGCTCAGATGTTAGCTCAGGGCCAATCTTCCTCAGCAAAATAAATAAATAAATAAAAATAAATGTAAGTAAAAAATAGAAGCTCTAAGGAATGATAAGACGGTGTTACAGTAGTCCCCTTTTATCCACAGGGGATACGTTCCAAGACCCCCAGTGGATGCCTGAAACGACAGATCATACTTAACCCTATATATACTATGTTGTTTGCTATACATACACACCTATGATAAAGTTTAATTTATAATTTAGGCACAGTAAGAGATTAACAACAATAACTAATAATAAAATACAACAATTATAATAATATACTATGATTTTGATGTAGTCCCATTTGTTTATTTTTTCTATTGTTTCTCTTGCCCGGTCAGATGTGGTGTTTGAAAAGATGTTGCTAAGACTGATGTGGAAGAGCGTACTGCCTATGTTTTCTTCTAGAAGTTTCATATTTTCAGGTCTTACATTCAAGTCTTTAATCCATTTGGAGTTAATTTTTGTGCATGGTGTAAGGTAAGGGTCTACTTTCATTTTTTTGCATGTGGCTATCCAGTTTTCCCAACACCATTTGTTGAAGAGACTTTCTTTTCCCCATTGTATGTTCTTGGCTCCTTTGTCAAAGATTAGCTGTCCATAGATGTGTGGGTTAGGCTTCACAGCAAAGGAAACCATCAACAAAACGAAAAGACAACCTAACAATTGGGAGAAGATATTTGCAAACCATATATCTGATAAGGGCTTAATCTCCAAAATATATAAAGAACTCATGCATCTCAACAACAAAAAAACTACCAACCCAATTAAAAAATGGGCAAGAGACCTGAACAGACATTTCTCCAAAGAAGATATACAGATGGCCAACAGACACATGAAAAGATGTTCAAAATCACTAACTATCAGGGAAATGCAAATCAAAACTACAATGAGATATCACCTCACGCCCGTCAGAATGGCTATAATTAACAAGACAGAAAACAATATGTGTTGGAGAGGATGTGGAGAGAAGGGAACTCTCATACCCTGCCGGTGGGAGTGCAAACTGGTGCAGCCACTATGGAAAACAGTATGGAGATTCCTCAAAAAATCAAGGATAGAACTACCATATGATCCAGCTATTCCACTGTTGGGTATTTATCCAAAGAACTTGAAAACACCAATTTGCAAAGGTACATGCACCCCTGTGTTCATTGCAGCCTTATTCACGATAGCCAAGACTTGGAAGCAACCTAAGTGCCCATCAAGGGACGAATGGATAAAGAAGATGTGGTATATATACACAATGGAATACTACTCAGCCATAAGAAACGATGAAATCCAGCCATTTGTGACAACATGGATGGACATTGAGGGTATAATGCAAAGTGAAATAAGTCAGAGGGAGAAGGTCAAATACCGTATGATTTCCTTCATTAGGTAGTAGATAATAACAACCATAAACAAACACATAGGGACAGAGATTGGATTGGTGGTTACCAGAGGGGAAGGGGGGAGGGAGGAGGGTGAAAGGGATAATTGGGTACATGTGTGTGGTGATGGGTTGTAATTAGTATTTTGGTGGTGAACATGATGTAGTCCATGCAGAAATAGAAGTACAATGAAGTACCTGAAATTTTTACAATGTTATAAACCAATGTTACTGCAATAAACAAAAAATTAAAAAATTAAAAATTAAAAAAAATAAAAAATAAAAATCAAAAAAATAATAATATACTATGATAAAAGTTATGTGAATGTGGTCTCTCTCTCTCAAACAATATCTTATTGTCCTGTACTCACCCTTCTTCTTGCGATGATGTGAGATGACACAATGCCTAGTGATGAGATGAAGTGAGAGGACCGATGCAGGCATTGTGATGTGTAGCATTATTTCCTGACCACAGTTGACTGCGGGTAATTGAAACCACGGAAAGTGAAAACGTGGATAAGGGGAGACCACTGTATTTCATTTTTAAAACACTGAGAAGGGCTGAGTACCAGGAGGTGGGGAGAGGAAGCTAATGGAGGTAAATTGCAAGCACACTGCATGGCTCAGAACAGGTGCTCAGAAAGCGTCCACTGGCTGAATGTGTGGAAGGAGAAAGAGAAAATACACAAGGAAGGACATGATTGAAGCAGAAGCTGTGGAAAGTCTGGATGAGATCTACCACAAAATGGACTTTTACAATCTCACTTTAAAGTCAGCCCTAGAGTCCCCTTTCTCTGAAAGGGTACCATATCCATCTACCTTACGCAACTGTAAACGCATTGTCAAGCCACTATTTTATTATATTTCCTTTCTTTCTTCTCTCCTCCTTTTCCCAGCTAATGAGATGAGAAATTCCAATTTCATTATTCCACACCATTTTTGGAGAAGGTACATGTCATTCCTCCTGAACGTCCCCACTCGTCCTTTTTCTTATTTTATTTATTTCTTTGCTGAGGAAGATCTGCCCTGAGCTAACATCTGTTGCCAATCTTCCTCTTTTTGTATGTGAGCTGCCACAGCATGGCCACTGACAGATAAGTGGTGTAGGTCTGTGCCCAGGAACCGAACCCAGGCCACCGAAGCAGAGTGTGCTGAACTTAACCACTAAGCCACTGGGGCTGGCCCGACTGGTCCTTTTTCTTATTTTAAACACCAGTTTAGTAGAGCAATGGGTGTTTTTCAGTATCTACTTCTTTTGTTTTCAATGTCGT